TGATGGTGGTGATGGTTGTGATGGTGGTGATGGTTGTGATGGTGGTGATGGTGATGGTGATGGAGGTGATGTTTGATGTTTTAGGATTTACCTGCGCCCCCTGGAGGAACAATAAACAGATCAACAGGTTATCTCTAAAGTTTGACCAAATTTATTCCTGTTTTTAAAAAAAATCCCTTGTAGCTCCTCCTATCTCACCTGTAGGTGGCACTATGCACACGCAGATACAGCAATTTTTACTAGTAAAAATTCAACCTTTCCTTTGTCCTGTCCTTTTTTTAAATTTTTTACAAGAATCAGTGATGCATTTAGACAAGAAGTTGTCTGTTGGATATAACAAAAAACCCCAAAACAAATCCATCGTTGGGTCATAACCCGATTGTAAAAGTTGATCCAACATCAACACATTCAACAATGAGAATACATAAAAATAAGTACAAGAAAAAAGAAAGCAAAAACAAAGAGTCATATTAAATTAAATCTAGAGCAGACCTGATGTGAGAAATTTCTGGGCCATACGTTTGACACCATTGAACATTTTTAGCACAAAATGATAACGTGGCTGCTCCTGCCGCGTCTCTACACATTCACTTATATTGACTATTAATGGCCACTATCCATTCTTTGAGTTCCATTACTGCCACCTTCTGGATGCCATCATACTGGTAAAAGGTAAACAGTTCTGTAGAACATCATGTTTTAGTGAATAGCACCAGAACTTCAGACTTGAGGGCTCAGATCCACACAGTAAAAACACTGGGATTTAAAAACTTAGTCTTGATTTATCATTTCAAATATGTAAAAAAGAAGATCAATATTTGGGGTCAAAGAATATCCAATATCTGTGTAACTTCTTCTACATGTCACTGTTCTTTTTTCACTTATATGCAATACCAGAAAATCTCCATCTGTTTTTTTTTTTTTTACCAATGAAAGACTTCGACGGCTAAAGAACCGGAATCATCCGCCTGTTCTGTCTCCTACACTGTTCCAGGGACCAGTCACGTGACCTCCTTCATCAGTGACATACTCTCTGGAGTCTTCCTCACTTCCTCTTGTCCAGTCTCTCTTTTAAATTTTCGCTATATATATATATATATATATATCATCAATAAAAAACAAAAAAAAAGGAATCGTTC